TAGGAATATTGCCAAGTACAAGGACTGGACTAAAACCTAGTTTGAAAGCAACCAATGTCCAAAGACTTTGTTATATTGAGTATTTACAGTTTGTCAGACAGGCTAAGAGTTTTTGTTTGTAAAGTTTTTCATTGGTAGTGACCAAAAATGGACAGGGTTAGCTATTAGTTCATCAGGACAGCTGTGATRAACATGCTCTATTTCATGTGTTTTCAATGTAATTATCATATAGTTATATCATTATAAGCCTACGTGTAACTTGTAGAAAAAAACATCATGACTGCTACCAAGCCAGAGCCTCCTGTAAGTCAGTCGATGTAACAATCAATAATAGACTGACAGGTTGTGTTAAAWGTGAGGTTGCCACATCCAGCAGCTTAGCTTACAAAGTGGAGCTCAGTACAAAGATTGTACACTTTAAATCAGTTATTGTACTTCTGTTTTTCTGGCTGTCTCAGGTTTGAAGGGTTCCTTTTCCAGACTGCATGTTTCGGTTCCTTCCGCAGATGTTCAGCAGATCAGGACTCCAAAGGTCACTTCAGAATAGTCCAATGTTTTGTTCTTAGTCATTAGGTGTTCTACTCGTGTGTTTTGGGTCATTAACCTGTTGAAGGATTCTTGACCTGCAATAGAGACCAAGTTTTGTGACACTGGGTGGCACACTCTGCTCCAAAATGCCTTGATAGTCTTGAGGTTTCCTTGTACCCTGCACAGATTCAACACTCCCTGTAACAGATGCAGCAAAGCAGCCCCGGAACAGAACCGAGCCACCTCCATGTTCCACTGTATAATGTTATTATTGTTGGACGTTTCATGTTTAGGTCTGTGAACACGGAGCACGTTGCCAAAATGCTTCAGTTTTGTCTCATTAGTCCAAAAGCTATGCTCCCAGAAGCATTGTGGTTTTTCCARTATGCATTTTGGAAAATTCCAGTCTCACATTTTTATGATTTGGTGTCCTCCTTGGTTCTCTCGTTGTGTTCGCTTTGGCTCAGATATTGACAAATGGTGTGATCTGAYAGTGATGACCTTGGAGTTCACCTTTCATCTCTTTAGAAGTTATTCTGGTTTCTTTGGTTAYCGTTTGTATCCGTCTCTTCAATTTGTCATCAGTTTCCCTCTTGCAGCCACATCCAGGCAGGTTGGCTACAGTCCRGTGGACGAACAATATGTGCATCTGTAGTCACAGCAACATCAAGCAGCTTGGAGATAGTCTTATAATCTTTATCTTTAACATGTAATCTCCCAAGACAGCTTTCTCCTTAGCTTCCCACGTTCAGAGTGGTACATCATGAAACCAGTAATTACCTTTTTGGYTTTAAATAGAYAGACTGATTACAAGATTGAAGACACCTGTGATGCTAATTAAAGAACATAAACATAGTGTAACGCTCCTTTTAGTCAAGGCCCGTTCTGTTTGTTTCTTTACTTTTTTAGTTTTTCTGATGAGCTAGTATTCAAAAGCAATGACATATATRTATTTATTTTTAGTATTTTTTGTTAGATTTGTCAGTTTTAARTTATTTTAGCAACTTTGTATGTCAAAACAAAGATACCAACATATTTGTTCATTTCTGTAGCTACAGTTTGTTTTGCATACGAAGAGTAATACAAGTAAAAGAGCACACATCGGTGAATTAGACCCTGACTCCTCTCAGTTACATTAAATGTGTTTTTTTTTTATCTGTGTCCCCTCCCCTCCAGGTTTTTAACTCCGCTCTCCTCTTCATTGTGTCTGTGTGGGCAGTGAGCGGTGCTTGGATGCTGCTCCCTGCCTCCTCCACACATCCACTGAGTTATGTAAGCACACTAAAGAGTAGCCCATATGGCACCGAGAGAGAAATATTTATAAATCTGTCTAATGAAAAAGCAGCCCACTACCCTGAAGCTATGCTAACAGTAATGCCTGATATATARATGCTTACTCTGACAACATTTGCTTCACCTCTCTTTCGGTGGACTATTCTTACTGCAAGACAGAAAGAAGCAAATGTTTTGAGACAAATTCTCTTACGTTGAACCGTGCAGGAAAGCAAAACCACTTGCCCCTGACAAAATTTAAAGTTCATATTCTTTCAAAACAGCAGAAAATGTGGCATTATAACAATAAAAAATGTAAAAGATAGTTCAAATTACTGATGTAATCTTTTGTCCATTTAAGGTAACATGCTTATGTCGAGACTTGACTTCACATGTTGGAACATTCAAGATTTCTTTGAAGAAAGAAGTTTTGTTCCAAGGAAAAAAGTAGTCATTTATATCAGTAAAATACAATATTATATATAAACATGTGTTTGTTGAAGGCTTCATCAAGAGTTGAAAATTGGTGGATTTTTGGGCACATTTCAAAATAAAACACTGTCCTCTAGTGGTCAGTRGCAAATCATACCCCCTCAAAATAAGGATCTCCAGTGCTGATTTTGTCTTCTGATTTTGTCTAGGAGTTATAAATGAATATTTGGGATTTTTGAACATTTGTGTTATTTAATTAACAAATAATTAGCTCATATCAAATTGTGCAGACGTTTTACACAAGTGATAAAAATAATATGAAGTGAGAGGGTGATTTGATTATGCTTAAGTCAAGCGTCTGATTAACTAGTTTAATTGAAACGGTTGTAATGATCAGTCTATTTGTATGGAAATGAATACAACAGTTTACAGAAACACACAGAGCTGTAGGATGCTTCAGACTGGGTGACGAGCACTCGTTGCTACTAAGGTAATGTTTTGGGAGGTTGTTGTCACACCAGGGCCAAGCTGATTACAACAAGACACACATTWGTTATTTTGCATCAGCAAATGCTCTCCTTCAGATAAGGACTCTTTCCCAGGATCGGGATCATTTGGCTCAGCTCAGGTCCCCCCAAAAGTTTTGTAAATTTGTTATTTTTAGTATGCGTTTTTGTTAACCAGAGTTCAGAATCCCAAAACTGAAAAGACACCTAGGAGAAAGGTTTCTTAACAGAAGACAGGGTTGACCAGGAGCAGGAGGATCTGCTGGAGACAGCAAAAAAGGAGTCTGCGTTTATCTAAAGCWATACTGATGACTGTAATATTAGATCTTACTGGTGAGTTAAGTTAAGGATTCTGCAGAGAAACAGGTCGGTTCTTTTCAACATAACCCAAAGTAAATCCTCACAGAGATCAAAGGTTGTCAGTTGATTTACCATTAGACAATCAATAGAGTCAAACAATGACTCATTGTTTCACTCAGCTTTAACCATCCATCATGAGGACAACTGAGAATAACCAGCTACACACAGCACCTGCAGGGATGACATGTAGTGACAGAGGGCGCTAAAACCCCAGAATACTAACACTCCAACATTAGAGGAAATTCCACTATTACAATGTAAAATACAAATTAAACAAATTTAGTGGCATTATGGAATGAAAACCCATTAGAAACAGGCGTAAAGGTGCAGCCAGGTGTATAAAGAATAGAGTTGAATGCCGACCTTGAGTGCTAGTTTCAGTTATTATTATTTTTARATCTTTCTGCTGCCTTTGATACCGTTGATCATAACATCTTATTGTCACGATTAGAGCAGCTGGTTGGTATCAAAGGCACAGTTTTATCCTGGTTTAGAGCCTACTTGACAAGTAGGAGTTTTTCTGTTCATTTAGGAGATTGCTCCTCTTCTACAGCTCCTCTGACTTGTGGGRTCCCCCAAGGCTCTATTCTAGGCCCTCTGCTTTTTAATCTTTATATGTTGCCTCTGGGGTCCATTTTTAATAAATATAAGATTCCTTTCCATTGTTTTGCTGACGACATACCTGCCTATCAAGCCAGGTTTGATTAATTCATTCAAATCACTCCTGAGCTGTCTGAATGACATAAAAATCTGGCTGAAATTAAATTTACTAAATCTAAATGAAAGTAAKACAGAAGTCATCAGCTTTGGTAAAGACATTTCTCCTGACAATCTTGGTCCTTTGGCTTCATACAGCTGCTCTGCTTCAGAAATTTGGGTTTCATTTTTGATAATGTGTTCAAATGATTTTTTTTCCATCTAAAACTTATTGCTAAGGTGAAGCCATAAAGTGATTCATGCTGTCATTACATCTCGTTTGGATTATTGTAATTATTTGTATGTTGGTTTAGATAAATCTTCTCTGCATCGATTACAAGTTGTCTTAAAAGCAGCAGCTCATCTTTTAACAGGAATTAAAAAACATGAACACGTGTCCCCAGTTCTGGCTTCTCTCCATTGGCTTCCTGTTCATTTTAGGATTAAACATTTTAAGATTTTATTGCTTACTTTTAAAACTTTAAAAGGTCTGGCCCCATCCTACCTGTTAGAGCACTTCATCCATCCAACCAGTTTCTCCTAGATGTTCCTAGATCTAGGTTTAGATAGTTGGTTCTCGATATAGATGGTTTAGAGGTGACTGAGCCTTTGCAGTTTCTGCCCCAAAAGTTTGGAATGGTTTACCTCTTAGTATTCGGTGTGCAGACTGTTGAGACATTTAAATCTCTGCTTAAAACTCATTTTTACTCCCTGGCCTTTCATTCTGGTAGAGTTTGAAATTCTTTTAAAGATAATGTTTTTAATGTTTTTCTCTATTTTAAATTGATCTTATTGTTTACATTTATGTGTTGCTCTGTTGTTTTAATTCATTTGGCTGAATTGTGAAGCACTTTGGTCAACTTTTTTTGTTTTTATGTGCTACATAAATAAATTGGCATCGACATTGACATTGACAATTATTAGCCTACTTTCTGAGAGTTTCATTTAAATCCGTCCACTWAATCATGATGTAGTTTTCCAGCGATGCATACAAATGAACAAAAACAAGATCAAAAGCTTTATATCTTCACTTTCTGCGGCGGGTGACAGTGATTTGTTAAAATCATAGACTTAAATATACTCCTTGGTTAAAATATATCTAAAATAAATATGTTAAAATAAACGAGCAACACCTGAATGCATCTTAARGCCGCGCCCATTACATTATTCAGGCTTCTGATTGGTCAACTTGTCTGTTCGTCACAGATCGGACGTCCCAGAGTCAGACGGTCAAAGTGAGCGGAACACGTTGAAAAAGAAACGGAGGCTCGCATACATTTAAATACTGTTGGTTGCAGATTGTAACCGGACCTAATACACAAGCTGGTGAGAAGCTGTTTTATTTTTTTCTATTTGATATTTTATTTAGCATGTTTCCTATCAACCAAACCGACTCCTCTGGCGCACGAAAAATCAGTTCACGCTTTCAAGATCTTTTTATTTCTACCAAAATATCGCGTTAGTTTCCGTGATTCCTACGTTCTCGGTGGCTAGCTTTAATTTTATTATGCAGCAACGGAATGTTAAACAAGAMGTTTATTCAGTGTCTGTGGGGTTTTGTAACCGCACAGTTTTAGAAAATGTATGTATTTTTCATATTTTGAACAAAAAACTAATTGATGCATGGTCTTGTTGTTAAGCTAGCTTAGCAACACGAGGCTAAGCCTTGACTGATTGTTGACATTATTGATGGAAATACCGCAGGGGAGATGCTTAACTAGCTTAGTAGTCTTAGCTACCAAGGACATAAAGATGTTCTGATAAATACTGATGTCAGCCATTGGTTGTTTACATTTTTTTAAATACGCATTTTCTGTGGTATCACGTGACATTCTCATTGTTATAGCCAAAGCTGTTTGCTCTATGATCTCTGGAGGGAAGAAAGCAATAAAACTAGTCTAGTTTTAGTTAACTAACACTCCAACATTGAAGCTGCTATTCATATTAGTGACAAATAATAAAACTAAGATAAACACTAATGTTTAAGATAACAGTGTATATTAAATTAAACAATAAAAATCAGAGTTAAGATGAATTAAATGGATTGATGGCTTTTTACAATAGGTGTATTTTAGGTGTTTGGTTTAGATTTAAAGCATGGCAGTAAAGTAGAAGGTACAATATATTTTTAATGAACCTGAAGTTGAACTGTTAAGGAGAGGCAGCTGTCCTCTAATGGGAGAGTTGGGGGTTCCATTCCACCACTATGCAGTCWCATGTCAAAGTGTCCCTGGGCAAGACACTGTACCTTTCACTACCTCTGATGTGTGTAC